TCTGTGGGGCAGAGCCGGTCTGGGGCTCTCCCTGGGCCAGGGCTGTGGGAAAACATGTGCCCCATTCCCAGCAGAGGGATGGCAGTTCTCAGGGAGGGAGAGGGCACCTTTCTGCTGCCCACTTTGTTCTGGGACCCTCCAGAACCCAGCTGAGCCTTGAGCAGCACAACTCCATCCCTCGCATGGATGGGTTCCCCTCTTCTTCCTCATTCCTCTGCTCTTCCAGAGACCCAGGGCTGTGCAGGGAATAGTTGAAAGGAACCAGGAGAGGTACGGAGCCTTGTGGCAGTGCCTGACCTGCTTGTCTCCAGTGAGAAGCCTGGCTGGGCTGTGTGACTCAGCCGGCAGCCACGTGAAGTGGAGCTGGCATGGAAAAGCCGAGTGAGGCCATGGGCTCTTCCTGGAAGATTGCTGCATCCCCCCAGAGCAATCTTCACCAGCACAGCACAGCTGCAGCCCAGTGAGCATGCTGGGCCCTCTCCTGCAGCCACAGGACCAGGATGGTTCCAGCAGACCAGTGGGAGGAGAGAGGGGGTTCAGCTCCCAGGGAGTGTGGCCAGAACTGGCCCAGCCGGTCCTGTGGAGCATCAGAGCACCAGGGAGGCAAATGCTGCTGAAGTGAGAGCTCCGGGATTGCACTGGAACGGCTTCAGCAGCAGGGCTTAGAAGGACTCCTGCCCAGCCCCTGCTCCGGGCAGGATCTGCCCGACCCACCCCAGCACCTGCTCAGCTCAGGCAGAGACAGGCACTGCAGTTGAAAYAAGCCGATGATTAAAGGAAGGCAGTGGGGGATCACCTTTCCACCAGAGAGCTGGGAAACACCCCACTGCATCAGGATCCTGCTGGGACTCCCTGGTGTGCATYGACACCAGTCCCAGGAACAACCTGGCAGCTGGAACAGAGAGGTGATACCTGGGACAGTGTGGGCAGGGATCGATGCCAGCTCYAAACCTGCTGCCTCATCCCCTCCTTGCTCAAAGCAGAGCTCAGCAGCCCTGGCAGGGCMCAGCCTTGCTGTCAGCAGCACATCCCAACAGCTACGTGTCTTCCAGYTTCAGCTTAAGCCCCATAGCTTCTTTGCACTTTAGATGATCACATCTACATCACCCCACACAATTAAGCCCAAATATTAATTTTCCTTTCACCCCAATTGCCACACATTTCCCCTTGTCTCTCCACATGGAGCAGACACAGCTCTGTCCCAGCAGGTCACAGGCTCAGACCAGCCCACACTTCCACTGTCCCTAAAGCAGTGTGGAAGGCCAGGCATGACAAAGCTYCCCTAAGCAGCAGCACAGCAGGAGCATCCACCAGCAGTGCAACTGTGGACCAGGCAGGCTGCCAGCCAGGAGCAAGAGGCAAGTGAAATGCCAGGGCAGCAGCACCGGGCTGAGGCAAGGCCAGGGTTGACTGCAAGTCATGCTGATGTGGAATCCCTCCCAGACTCTGGCTGGGGCACATCCCAACTCTGTACCCACTCCTCACCCAGCAGCGACACCGGCTTTGCTGTAAGTGGGGCAACTTCTCCCACCTATTTGAGTGCACACACATACTAAGGTGGGCTGGGGCTGAGGGGCTCCTGCTGCTGTGCTGGAAGCTGTGCTGGTGCCAGGGGAAGCACACAGGGAAGCAGCACTCCTCCCTCCAGGCGGTTTCTCATCCCTCACAGCAGGCAAACAGCACCTCCTGCCAGCCCTGAGCCCAAGTGAGGGGTGTCAAGCCCAGAGCCCACAACCCAGCAGAGATCTCCACCGAGTCTAAGAACAGCTCCTGCTTTCAGTCTATCACCATCCTTCAGCTGCAAACCTCGTCCTGGGACTCTGCCACCCTCCACAAAARGCCTGAAGGAACTCAGTGTCCCACTGTTCAAGAGCTCAATTACCCCAATCAATATTTGGTCACGGCTTTCATAATTTTTCCCAGTCAAGTCTAAGTATGTACTTAAGCTCAAGTACCACTGAAGCCTTTTCCGTAATTCCTCTATTCCCTGCTCACCCAGGGCTCCACCTTCTCCTCACTCCAGCCACTCTAAAAGCTGGTTTTATCTACAGACTTTTAAAGCCAAGCACTGCAGAGGCAGCAACAGCAGCATTTGCAAACAGCCCTGAGGACAGTGAACCCTGTGAGGAACAGAAACAGGGAAACACACTGCAAGCACATGGAGCGGAGATTGTACCAGAAAAACCCACAAAGCCTTTGCTGCTGGATTAGCAGGAGGGCTCCAAGTGAACCTGCAGCATAAGCAGAGAGYTGACACACTGGGGAAATGGTGTGACAGGTCACTTGTGTCACATCAGAGCCATTGACAGGGTTTTGCTGTGGCCACCACCTCCCTCCCGTGGCCTGCTCCATGAGGCAGCAATGTAGGACACCCAAAACACTGATCACAAACACATCCTAATTACAATGTGCAAGAAAATGCAGGACACAAGRTCYGGGGGGTAAATACAGAGCTTTTTGAGATCTGGCTGTTGCCTCATGTTCACACACATGTTCACATGATCCCAGACATCCTCTGAGCAGGGCAGTCAGCTCTGCCCACCCACTGTCAGGAAGGGAAGCAAAASCCCCTTCAATGAAATTAAGGCCCAGAAGTTTGYTGGGCACTCTCTTTCCCATGGGCTATGCTGTCACAAAACACAAGAGCCCTCAGTGGTGTCACAATGTTTATTATTCTGTACAGTCCTCGGCAGATGCAGTTTAGATGATTCCAATCTGGAAAGAAGCAAAGGATGTTAAAACAGATGTTATGGTGGCAGAATTGATGCCATGGCTGCATCTCCCCAGAATTCCTTCAAGGACTGGCTTCTTCCTCCCAGACCTGCCCAAGAGCCTTACACRTCCACTTTCCACATTTATTCCAGAGTGATCTTTGTGCTGTATGTTCCCCTACTCCACTATGTACCAACTCTGCCTCCTGCCTACCTCAACCACCTCGAGGACTGAACTGACTGAGAACGTGGCTCCTCAACACTCAGATCCTGTCTGGCTACAAGGACACGGAAGTGCCACCGCACTTGAAGCACAAGCACCTCATGAAGAAACTCAGGAAGAACAATCAGTGCAGGAGACATGAGACAAGTTGAAAAAAAGTTTCAAAGTTTCAAAGATGTCTCACCTTGTTGGCTACATCCAGTGCATCGTAATCTGGAGCCAATCGGACATAAGCTTTCTTCTCCCCATCAGGCCTAGAGCAAAACAGGAGGCATCAGAACAGAGGCAACTCCTCCCCCCTGCTCCACATTCCCAGTGGTCCCATGTGCATCAGTGGTTCCTTTGAACATCACATTATTCAGCAGAATCAGTCTACATCATTTGCACAGGACTGCCTGGGTGTTGAAAGTTCTCCTGAGGAGCCAAAGAGCCTCCCGAGGAAGCCAAGAGCTCCCTGATGAAGCCAAACCTCTGGTAGGCCAACATTCTCTACTTCCACCAARATGTGCTCACTTCACTTTGGAGCTTCATCCCACTGCTYCTCAGARTTCCCACAGCTRCTGAATCTCACATGTTCTCATCTTCTGCTAAAATGAAGCCACTCACACCCACCAGTGACTTATTCTCCTCCCCTTTCTCACCTAATCAACGTGTTGACCTTGGCCACATCGATATCGTACAGCTTCTTGACGGCCTGTTTGATCTGGTGCTTGTTTGCCTTGACATCCACGATGAACACCAGAGTGTTGTTATCYTCAATCTTCTTCATCGCTGATTCTGTGGTCAGAGGGAACTTGATAATGGCATAATGGTCCAGCCTGCAAGAGAGACCCTRTGTTTAACAGAGGGCTGGAAGCTGCTTCTCTGCATTTCAGGGGCTTTCTTTGGGGTGCATCAGTCACCTAAGGTTATAATCACAAACTCTCAGGCTTTGGTCGCTTAAAATCATCACCTGCATCCCAAATCACCAAGTCCCCACAATAGCCCATTCACGGGGTTGCTCCCACCCCCCAAACCCCACAGCAAGGCAGAGCCCCACAGCCCACACGCACTTGTTTCTCCGTGGGGCGCTCTTCCGGGGGTATTTGGGCTGCCTCCGCAGCCGCAGCGTCTTGGGCCTGCGGAAAGTGGGCGATGTGCGGATCTTCTTCTTCTTGTGGCTGTGGACCCCCTTCAGGACGGCCTTCTTGGCCTTCAGCGCCTTTGCCTTCGCCTCTGTCTTCGGAGGYACAGCTGTGAGGAGAGCTCAGTCAGCACCACCAGGATCTGCAGGGTCAGGATGCGCTCCCCAGCCGGRCACGGCTTCCCCTGGGCAATGAATAAGACCTCACCCAGCGGCCCACGCTCCCTCATCTAACCCCGATGAGCTTCAAAACGCCCAATGAAGTTAAAAGTCTCCCGTTTCCTTGCGGAAAAACGCACCTATTCAATGCCCAAGTACGAGAGATGGAAAACATCCCCCACCTCCCTCAGACAACGCGGCAGGCCCGTCCCGCCACCTCCACGTGCCCGCGCCCATCATAGCGCTGGAAGCCTTCCTCACTCCGCGCTTCGCTCAGCCCGACCCCCCTCACATTCACCCACATCCCGTGGGGTCCCTCACTCCGCTCCGCACCCCCCACACGGACCCGGCGCTCCGYGCCCTCACCCTCCTTCTTCGCCTTGGGCGCCATCTTGGCCAGGCGGAAGCCGAAAGGGGTCTCCCGCTCCGCGCCGCACGGGCTTATACCCCCAAATCTCGCGGGAGCAAGACGGAATCCTCGTTGCCCCGCGCCCTCCCCCAATTCTCGCGATATCTCCGAAGCATGCCGGTAGTGGTAGTACTCATGAGCAGACGCGGCTGAGCGTGCGCAGTGGGTGTCCCGCGCGCCCCGGGGTGTCATGGGAGTTGTAGTCTGGCACGCTRCTGTCCCGCCCCGCCGTCGTGGCGGTGCGGGACCGGGGTGAGCCCCGGGGTGGCGGGGGATTACCGGCATTCCGCCGAGGTGGTAACAGCGCAATGGCCCAGACCGGGAGTAACCGGCGTCCTGGCCCCTCCCACGCCCCCGAACGGGGGCGTGGGAGGGGCCAGGACGCCGGTTACTCCGGGGCTGGGCGTGAAGCACCGAGCACCGCTACCGGAGCTGGGAGGTTCGCGGTAACGGGGAYACCCCACTTCATTCCCCCGCCGTGGGGACAGGGATGAGGCGGGGAGAGCTTAGTCTTGGACTGCGATGAGGCGGGGGGACACGGGACGCGGGGGGGACACGGAGATGGGGATGGGTGGGACATGGGGACAGTCACACTGCGCGACACGGGGACAGCGATACCCTGGGATGGCTGTGGGGATGGACGGCTGGGACACGGGGATAGGTGTGACGTGGGGACAGTGGTACCCGCGTGTGTTGGAATGTGGGGGTGGTGGCACACGGGGACAGCCGTGTCCCGGAGTGTGCGACAGCCACACCTGAGSACAGGGGGACAGTGGTGCCCTGGGATGGCACACTCGGGATGTGGGGCTGGCTGGGATGTGGGGACGGATTTCCACGGGGACAGGGTGGAGGGACAGCCACAGTGGTGGCTGAAATGTGGGGACAGCCATCCTTGGTGACRTGGGGAGAGTCAGGACATGGGGASAGTCAGGAYATGGGGACAGTCAGGACAWGGGGACAACCATGTCCTGGGAAAGTGGACACTATTGGGATAAGGGGACAGCCCCTCCTGGGGACACGGGGACAATCCTGCTACAGAACGCTGTTCGCGGGGACAACTGTGACGCGGCGACATCACCGCTCYCTGCTCTCTCTGTCCCCAGACCTCGCGGTGACCCTCATCCCGTCCCCGCTGCCCCGGCCACCCACGGACCATGAACGTGCTGGCTCCGGTCCGCAGGGACAGGGTCATCGCCGACCTGCCCGCGGTGAGCGGGGGGGACACACCGGCCCCGGGGGTGACCTCGCCGAAGCCCCGCGGTCACCCCGGTGTCCCCCTTTGTCCCCCTGGCAGTGTCATCGGAAGGAGGCCGCCCTGCACACCCGCCGCGCCTTCCACCCCACCGTGGCCAGCGCCTGCCAGGAGCAGCGGACGGGCACTGTGGGGTCAGTCCGGGGGGTTTGGGGTCCCCGCTGTCGCCATGGGGGGGTGRCGGGGGGTCCCGCCAGCCGCGGGTCGGGGTCCCCAGCGTGGGCGCCGCGTGGCTGCCGGCGCTGCCCGATGCCGAGCCCTGCGTCACGGCGCTGGAATGCGGCGCGGGGGGGACAGGGGCGGGGAGGGGGGACACGGCGGACCGGGATGAGCGGCGGCGGGCGGCAGAGCCGGGATGCGGAGCGCTGCGGACGCGAGGGGCCGTGGGGTGATGCCCCTCCCCGCCCTACGAGCCCCTCCTCYCCCGGGGTCACTCGGGGGGTGTCCCCAGCCCTGCTGAGCCGCGCGTCCCACTCAATGCAGGTTCAAGATTTCCAAGATCATCGTGGTGGGCGACCTGTCGGTGGGGAAGACCTGCCTGATCAACCGGTACCGGGACCCCCAAGGGGGCTTGGGTGGGAGGGGGACCGGGGAAATGACCCCCCCTCCCCAGGGGACAGCAGCACCTTGGGCTGAGCCCCGCTCTAGCCAGACCCTGGTGCCGGGTACCCGCCCCTAGGGATTGGGATGGGGGGCCAGGGGATGCTGAATCCTCCCCAAACCCCTTCCCCCCAGGTTTTGCAAGGACACTTTTGACAAGAACTACAAGGCGACCATCGGGGTGGATTTCGAGATGGAGCGGTTCGAGGTGCTGGGCGTGCCCTTCAGCCTGCAGCTGTGAGTAGGTGCCAGCCCCCTCCCCACGCACCCCTGAGACCCCCCCTCACCTCCCACACCCCCCCAGGTGGGACACGGCCGGCCAGGAGCGCTTCAAGTGCATCGCCTCCACCTACTACCGGGGAGCACAGGGTGAGGTCCCCACTGCACCCCAATGTCCATCCCACTGTCCCTGTCCCCTTCCTCACCCCTCCTTTCTCCCCCAGCCATTGTGATTGTCTTCGATGTCAACGATGTGGGGTCCCTGGAGCACACGCGGTAGGTGACGTGTCACCCGGGGGGGGACCAAGGACAAGCATGGGGGACATTGGGGCTGGACAGAGAGGGGTGGTGGGGTTGCTGTGGTGTGTGGGTTCAGGGTGACAGTGGCTCCCACAGGCAGTGGCTGGCTGACGCCTTGAAGGAGAACGACCCGTCCAACGTGATCCTCTTCTTGGTGGGCTCCAAGAAGGATCTGAGCGTGAGTGTGSCCCCCTCCCCGTGGGCAAACTGTGCCCTGGCCCTGTCCCTGTCACCCACCCACGCCCGGCTCGGTTTGCAGACGCCAGCACAGTACAGCCTGATGGAGAAGGACGCTCTCAAGGTGGCCCAGGAGATGCAGGCGGAGTACTGGGCTGTGTCCTCACTCACTGGTGAGTCCCAGCTGGGCAGGGGGTGCAGATCCCAGGTGAGGGGACACTCAGGGGGGTCTCTTTCCGTGGACCAGGGGAGAACGTGCGGGATTTCTTCTTCCGAGTGGCAGCTCTGACCTTTGAGAGCAGCGTGCTGGCCGAGCTGGAGCGTGGCAACAACACCCGCAGGATCGGCGACACCGTGCGTGAGTAGCCCTGGCCAGCCCCCCAAAAGTGTCCCCCCTTGTCCCCCAGCCACCCACCGACCCTCCTTCCTCTGTCCCTCAGGGATCAGCAGCAACGAGAGCGACCTGTACCTGTCGACGCCCCGCAAGAAACCCAAGTGCTGCCAGTGAGGGGGCAGCCCCCAGCCCCCTCCACGCTCACACCTCTGGACCAAAGAGGGGCGACCCCGGCCGGCCCCGAGGAGCCGTCCCTGCCACCCCCAGCCCCCCTGGCCCCTCGCCTGCCCGGGCACCCCTGGCTGGGGCAGGCAGGGGCACCCGTGTGACTCCTGTAGCTATGCAAACCCAGGTACTGCTCACAGGGAGAGATGCCTTCAGGCTCCCTTTTGTCTTAATAAAACCTTTTTTATGCTTTGTAAGAAAAGTGTGGGGCTGGGGGAAGCGGGCTGGGGCTGGCTGTGGGGCTCCCTGTTTTTGGGTGCAGCCCCCCAGGCTCAGGGGAAGCAGGAGGATGGAGGCAGGGAGGATGGATGGCTGCGGCTGAGGACGAGTTCCTTCTTCCACCGAGGAGCATCCCTGTCCCACAGAGCCAGCAGCCCTGTGTCCCTCGGGGAGGGGCTGCAGGGGACACACGAGGTGCCAGTCCCACATCAGTCCCAGCCAAGCTGGTGCTGGTCGAAGCGGGGCTGCAGCCGGGGGGGGACACAGTGGGAGCATTTGTAGCGCTCCCGGATCCACTTCCCCCCCTCGCTGTTCTCGATGCAGATGGCAGCGACACCTGTGGGGACAACACAGCGGGGCTCAGCACCGGCCACCACAGGCCGTGGGGATGGTGGCCCCATCATCCCAGCCCGGGCTGCCCCCTCCTACCTGCCACGACCCCCCCCAGCCGCTCCACCAGCTCAATGGCCGCTCGCATGGTGCCCCCAGTTTCCACCCACTGGTCCACCAGAAGGACACGCAGACCTGGAGGGGGCAGAGGCCGTGGGTGAGTGCCCGGTGCCCGCCCTGGCAGCCCCAAAAAACGGGAGCACCTCGCTGGCTCACCCGGCGAGATGGCGTCAGTCCGGACCTCCATCACCTTCTCCCGGCCCGAGTAGTCGCTGTAGGGCTGTGCCACCGTCTGCACGCACARGTGCCCGGCTTTGCGGATGGCCAGGAAGCCTTTCCGCAGCGTGGCCGCGACYGCGGCGCCTGGGGGCGGGCACGGCACCGTCAGGACCCGCGGGGACATGGGGACATGGCACCGAGACCCTGCGCCCACCCGTGTGCCCGCTCACCCAGGATGAAGCCCATGGCGTCGATGCCGGCCACCGTGTCGATGGCATCTCCCTGGAAGGGCTGCAGCAGGTCGGCCACGCAGTCCTGGAAGCCCTGGGGGGAGAGTGGAGGTGCTGGGTGCCCGCAGCCCACCGTGGGCACCCACAGCTGGGTGTCCCAGCAGCCCCGTGGAGGTGCAGCCCACCCCGGGCACCGGGTACTTGCGGGTGGAGGTAGAGCCGGGAGGGGTCCAGCCAGGCGTAGTTGGGACCCTTGACATTGGGGGCCATCAGCGCCAGGTACCAGCCCTTCTCCCGGCCGGCGGGGACGTGGCACAGCTCCATGCGTGGGGACTGCGGGCGCTGCGAGCACTGAGCGTCGAAAGGGGGTGAGACTTCCCCAAAACTCCCCGTGGCCCCGTGCCCCCACCCACACCCACGTGTGGCACCCCGGAGGCCCAGAGCGCCCATTGGGCTCCGTACCTGGTGCTGGCGGCGGGGCTGAGCCGAGCGGGACCGTCACGGCAGCGTCACGGACAGCGACAGCTGAGAGGGGACAGCCCCTGCGGCACTGGGCCCCCGCCAGCGCCCTCGGCCAGCTGGACACTGGGCTGCTGCCAGGCCAAAGCCCTTCCCATGGGGCAGGGATGTCCCCTGCTGGCTCTGCTGTCCCAGCTCTGGGGCTGGGCGTTCACACCCTACATGGCAGTGGTGCCAGGACACGGTGTGGGTGGCACAGGGGGGTGGCACCCTGTGACACAAGGGTCAGCGAACCAGGGTGATGCTCAGGGTGATGTTCTGCAGCTTTGGGTGGCCTCGGACAGTGCAGGGATTTTTGGAGGCCAAGCACGTCCCTGTTGGGGTGTCCAGGCAGTGTCCTGCCCTGCTGARTGAGCCAGGGCTGTGTCCTGACTGTCAATGGGCTCCAGGGGCAGGAGCTGGCCAAGAGGGACAGCCCTGGCAGCGCTGGGAATGCCGGGGTGGGCTGCCAGCCCGGCTGGGCACCGGGCACCGGGCTGCTCCGTGAAAGGCACCGTGCAGCATCTGTGGGATGGGATGCAGGGCCACAGGGAATGTCCATAGGATGGGACACGAGGAGGCAGGGAGCGTTCGTGGGATGGGATGTGCAGATGTGGGAACGCCCCCGGGAAAGGACACGGGGATGCAGAGAGCATCCGAGGGATGGGATGCAGGGATACAGGGATGCAGGCATGCAGGGATGCAGGGATGCAGGGATGCAGGGATGCAGGGATGCAGGGAGCATCCCTCTCCCGTCGGGGGCCGCTCCGGGGCCGGGGCCTGCGCGGGGGCGGGTGCGTCACGGGGCGGGGGTTTGGGGCCGGCTCGTTACCGGCCCCGGCACATCACCCCACCGGCTGCCACAGCAACGGGGCCGGTCCCACCGGGAGGGGTGACCCCTTCCCCGCGGGCTGCCGGCGCGGGACGTGCCGCGGCTCCGGGAGCGGGAGCGGCTGCAGCACCCGGGCTCGGCGGGACCCTCCGCACGGTGCCGGGCCGTGCCAAGCCGTGCCGGGCCGCCCCGCGTGGGCGGGCTGCGCCACTCTATAAGGCGGCCCCACGGCGGCGAGCGGCGCGGTGCCATGTGCGTCCCGGGACTGCTCTGCCGCGTCCTCCTCCTCCTCCTTCTCCTCCTGCTCCTGCTGTCACCTGCCCCCGGAGCGGCCTCGCCGGGACGGCCCCGCGCCCGCCGCTGGCTCACCTACCCCGGGACGCTGTGGTGTGGTGCGGGCAGCAACGCGGACACCTACGAGCAGCTGGGTAAGGGCGGCAGGGATGCTGCTACCTGTATCTTCCCATCCCACTCCTTCTCATCCCTTCTCTCCTATCCCGCCCCATTCCATCCCATCCCCTCCCCAACCCAGTGCTGCATCAGTCCCCATCAACCCTAATCCAGTCCCATCCCRTTCCTGTCCCCATTCCTATGCCAGTTCAGTCCCTGTCTGTCCCAGTTCAGTCCAACCCCTTTTCATCTCTGCCGAGTTCCTATTACAAGACTAATCCTTCCTGGTGGTGGTCCACTCTTGACCCACCCTCTGTCCCCATCATGATCTGTGGTCCATCCTGCTGCCATTCCAGTCCCCATCCCAGTGCTTGTCCACTCCCTGTCGCTATCCTGACCCCAGCCTAGACTCTCTTTTGGTCCTGCTCCAGCCATGGTCCCCATCCTGACCCCAGCCTAGTCCCAGCCTCACTCCCACCGTGTTTTTTGTACACTCCCAGTCCCCGTCCCAGTGCCAGCCTTGTCCCCACCCTTGCGCTGATCCAATCCCACCTATCCCAGTGATTCCAATCCTATCTCAGTCCAATCTAGCCTTGACCCAGTCCTAGCCCAGCTCAGCCCCAGTCCCAACCCCACCTAGCCCCAGCCCTGCCTGCACCCCACGTTTCCCCTGCAGGGGAGCACCGTGACACGGACCGGTGCTGCCGGGACCACGAYCACTGCCAGCACATCATCCACCCCTTCACCATCCGCTATGGGTACCGCAACCTGCGCTGGTACACCATCAGCCACTGTGAATGTGACCACAGGTGAGTGTCCCCAAACCTGCCCCAGGGCACTCTGCTAACCCCTGGCAGGTGCCAGCCCTCCTGAGCACAGCTCTGCCCCCGGTACAGGCTCAAGGAGTGTCTGCGGCGGGTGAACGACACCGTCTCACGGGTGGTGGGCCAGGCCTTCTTCAACGTCTTCCAGGTGCCTTGCTTCGAGTTCACCTACAAGGAGGAGTGTGTGGAGCCCTATCTCCATGTCTGGTGAGTGCCCCCAGCCWTGGGGACCGTCCCCCTGCCCCGTGGTTTGTCCCACCCTGTGGTGCCACCTCGTTTTTTGCAGGTGCAAGACGTACAACACGGTGGCCGTGGCGGTGCCCCGAGAGCCGGTGCCGTATGAATTTGGGGGGGAGCTCATTGACCGGGCAGCGAGGCCCAGGGGAGTCCCCCTGAGCCCCCCGTTGGGAGGAGCCCTCCCAGTGGATCATCACACCAAGACAGTGAAGAAAGAGAGGAAGAGAAAGAAAGATAAGAAAAATAAGAAAAATAAGAGGAAAGGTCTGAGAAAGAAAGGTTCTTCCGAAAAGGGGGCACAGAGYCATCCTGCAGCTACTGCCCCTGACGATCACTGGGTGCTGCTGCCATCCTTGGGGGAAGCATCCAACACCATCCTGAGCGATGCCCCGGCACAGGAGGGACCAGGCAGGGAGCCAGCACCAGCCCCTCCCTTCCCGGTCCCCACYGCCAGCGGGAAGAGGAGGAGGAAGGAGAGGAACAGAAAGAAGAGGCTGAAAAGTAAAACTGAGGCTCAGCCCACAGGAGAGCTGCAGCCCTGAACCCACTGAGCCTGTGTGGGTTTCAGTTGTGAAATAAAGTTACATCTGCTGGAGCAGCCTCAGCTTTGTCTCTGTGGGGGAAAGGATGGCACCGGGGGCAAACAGGCAGGGCTGGGTGGGTGTGGAGCGGTTTGAGGTGTTCCTCACTGCTCCCATCAGCTCACAGCATTGTCCTGGCACTGGGGGCACAGCTCTTGCCCCTCACTGGCACTGGGGCCGAGCTGCAGTCTCAGCTCTCCTGCCAGAGGGTTAAATTCCAGCTCTCCAGGCGTGTCATTTGCTCTGCAAGTTCTGTGAATTGCACCACCCAAGCTCTCTTATTCTCTTAAACTCGCTGCTTTTCCCGTGGTCCCACATCAGCAGCAAYTCCTTCTCCCTTCCTCCCTGAAGGCTCCTCAAATGCTTGCAAAGCTCCTTAGAGTGGGACAATAGAAGCTTTTCCAGCCCCGGGACAAAGGCAGAGGCTGCCTGGGAAGAGCTGGGACAAGGAATTGTGCCTGTRMCCCTGSCTGGGCTCCTGTAATGAAGAKTTTGAGGGCAGCACTCAGGGRCAGGGCAGTGCCACCAACTCCTCCAAAGCGCTTCTGAGGGTGGAGTGTGGCTCAGCCCAACATCCTGGTGACACGGGGGAAAGATCTTCTGGCAATAGCACCAGATTCCAGACTTGGGAAAAGCTGGAGCGGCAGGAGCAAAGCAGACAGCAAACCCCACACTGTGGGGTGTGCRGTGCAATCCCAAATCCCTGGAATAAGCGGATCAGACGAGCCCAGGGGGGGGATACCCAGGGTGCAGGGAGGCACTGCTTCCTCTGTGGGTGCAAAGGCAGGAAGCACGGACRCAGGGCATGCGGACGAGCTTCCCAAAAGTAGAACTTTTATTGACAGCAAGGGAAAACTAAAAACAAAGACAGCCAGAAAGGAGGCAACAACACACAACCAGCCCCTCCTTCCAGCTCCAACCAGTAAGGAGCTGCTCCCAGTCAAATTCCCAGCCTACAGTTCAGTGAAATAAGAAAATAGCGCCAGGTTCATCCACCTGCAACCTCGGAGCTGTGGGCCCCAGCCCACGRTTCTCCCCACTGGCCTGGGTGGTTCTGGGAGGAACAGGACCCTGTCAGCCCCCCAGCACTGCAGAGGGGATGGCATTGAAGCCAGGRCCTGCATTTCTCTGTGCAAAGAGCTTTGCTTTGTCTCCCGGGTCGCTGCCATTCTTCAGGAGCATTTACATGCAAAGAAGACCTTTGTTTCCTAAGATCTGCCGTTCCTGCTCATTTCCTAGCAAAGGAGGCTGACCAGGAGCACTGGGAAGGAACAAAGACTCAGCATCCATAGAAAATCCCTACTAACAAAGCAGGAGAGGGGAGAGTGTGTGCAGCAGGAACTTTGCCTCTCTGAAATTTCTCTCCCGTTGCTGGCAATCCCTSATCCAGATTTTCCACCCCCTCCCAGTGCCTCTCCTGTCCAACATCCACAGGGAGGTGCCCTCGATGTCGGTGTGATGTCTCCATATGGTGCATCCATAACAGAACATCATCCTTTAACAACAGAAATCAGCGTCTCTGTGAAACTTCCAGCACACGGAGGGCAAGGCCAAGCAAAGAAGGAAGGAGCGGCATCGACTTCTACCACGCAACTCTGCTCTGAGCAAATCCAAAGGGAAAAGGCAGGGTGCAGGCAGAAAACCTCTGAGCTAGCATTCAGTAAAAACACTATTTATTCACCCCTCCTGGTTACAGCTGGGCAGGGGAAGAGGGTACAGAGGAGGAGGCCATGCACTCCGGGCTGCTCCGCGGTGCTTCGTCCCATGTCTGTCTCGGGGAAGCTGCCGTAGGCTGTCGTTTTATGTCGCAGTCTGATTAAAAAAAAATAATAATCAAAACTAAATAAATATTGTTCCGAAAGAAGCCAGAGGAGAGAGCAAGCCTTTGGTACAACAGCTGCATCTCCAGCAAGACCCCGAGCTGCTGCACCGGACCCCTCCGGACACAGCTGGGGTTGGCACAGGCTCTGCTGAGCCTGTCACACATGAAAACATGGAGCAAACAACAACAGGAACTTCGTGAGAACTCTGGTTCGTTTGTCACAACCCCCACGACGTTGCTTTGTGGTCTCAGGATGAGGAGAGGTGACAGTCAGGGTTTGGGAGAATCCAAAGGAAACAGGCTCACTCCAGGGCGATGCACTTTCAGCTACATTTGCTTCCGAGTCTTTGGGGTGAAAGCAGAGTGCTGTGCACGTACAGGACAGACTCCTTTGACCTCATGTTTGCTTTGCTAAGTTCCCAAGGTGCCTCAACGCAGAGCCTGAAACGCAGAGGTCGATGCAGTGTTCCTTTCTATGATATATTTTTCTTATATATAGCATATATTTTTAAACCAGCCCTGCTACGTCTATTGTCTCRCTCAGGTGTGTGTCACCAAGAGTCATTTCCCACCATCCCACGACGTATAAAACAGGAGTTATGTGTCTAAGCGAAGGGAAGTCGCTTCCAATTGTTCCCTCTCCTTCCCCCTTCCTCGGAGAAGAGGGCGGAGGTGTCGGGTGTCAGGTCCTATCGATCCATCTCATCCAGGAGAGGCGTGGCGTCCCCGGCGATGGACATGGGCGTGCTCTCGATCATGGGGCTGGGAGAAGGGCGAGGGGTCAACCTCTGCTTCTGTTTCCTCCGCTCCGCCTCCTTCTCCTGCAGCCACTGCTCGGCCATCTTGCCCCAGTCGATGGCAGCGTGGCTGTTGGTCCTGCAAGGACACRGGCACAAGGTGAGACGTGACAGGAAAACCTCCCTGCCCTCCTTCCCTGTGAGGAAGGTATGAAGTAACCCCACCATGCAGCTTCCACAAAAACCAAGAAAAGCAACGGAGACAGGACGTGGACACAAACACCCTGAGCTACTCACTTTGGCTGCTGCCTCTGCCTGGAGCTGGATGAGGGCTGCGACTGTGCCTGGGACTGGGTGGACTGGGGCGTGGTGTTGGCCTGGAGCTGGTACTGGGGCGTGGTGATGGGCTGGCTGGGAGTAGTGTAGGAGTAACTGGGGGTCATCAGAGGTGTGGCTACTGGCTGCTGTGCTGGAGTTGTGAAGACCTGTTGAGAGCAGAGGCTGTCAGAGGACAGAAGGTGGGGACCTTGCCAGGCTGGGGGGAGGCTCTGCACTGCCCTGCTCACCCAGGAGGCCGGTGCCCACCCTCACTSCCTGCTCCCAGCCCTGCTGAGCACAGGACATTTGCTCCCCTGAGCACCTCTGGTGTCCCACTCAGCGGGRTCAGCACARCCCACCCTCCTTGTTCACCCCAGARGGAGATGCCTGAGCCAAGCAAAGGCAAGGGGCACAGAGACATTTGGGGCAAGCCAGCAGCAAYGACACCCTGCAGTGGGTGCAAAGAACAGATAAATCCTTCCCCTGCAGGCTGCTCCCAGGATGGCTCCCTCCCACATCTCAAGCCAGCTGGGCTGCTTGTCCCATGGAGAGCTTAGTGCCTTTGCCTCCCGGTGTTCACCTCCCTTTTTCTTCTGATGTCTTGATGATTAATACATCAGGCTATCCACAGTCCCTGCCTATCCCCAGCTCAGCATTTACTGTGCCAAACTTCCTGAAAGCCTCCCAAAGTGCTCGAAAGGAGGATCACTCCTCCCTGCAAGCCTTGTCTTGCAGCATCTAACAGCTGGGTGTGTTTTTTGTACCCAGGCTCCTCAGCCCTTCCACAGCTGGAATTTGCCTCGGTGTGAGCTGGGAGCTTGCAGAGCAGGCTGGGAGCAGGCACATATAGGGGAAAGCTTTATCATGAGCCAAAACTGTCCAATTCCATCTGACTCCCTGCAAAGCCCCTGGCTGTCGGGTCAGGCTGAGGTGTTCCCCGCCGGTGCAGCTCGGAGATTAGCGCTGAGCTGAAAAGCCCTGCAAACTCAGCGCATACTTTCCCAGCTAATCTCCTCCGCTGGCAGCTCACGTTGCCAATTCTGGGRCACAATCAGAAGGCTGTGTGCCCTCACCGCTGGATCCCACCTCTCCACCCTGCMACATTCCTTGGGGGCCAGACCAGTTCGCTCCTTGCTCCAACTCCCCCCTGGAGCAGAGCTGTGTTACACGCCTCGTTTCTCCAGTCACGAGAGGCAAGAGGAAACCTGTTTCAATAATCCAGCACYAGGGGTACAAAACTAGGATTTGGGGATCCCAGGCAATGAGGGATTTCTTARGATCCCAGTGGTTTCTAGCAGCAAGCAGAAGCCAGCAGAGATTTAAGTGACACCTACGTGGTAGGCGCTGCTGCCGCCTCCGCTGCCCCCGTAGCCGTATTGGCTGGAGCCCCACTGTGCCGGGGTGGCATTTGGGTTCTGTCCCTGGCCTGTCACAGCAGCGATGGCACTGAACATCTGCGAGGTCATGTTCTGTGGCAGAGCRTTCACTGCACGTGTCAGGTCTGCAAGGGAGACACACTGTGTTAGAAAAAGCGGAGYCTGGAGGAGCAGCTCACATCCCAATTCCAACCGGCAATGGCCTGCACTGACCTGCCAGGTTGATGTTAGCTGGAGTAGCATTAATGGAGGCTGGAGTCCTGGTCCGACTGCTACTGCTGGGGGTAATRCCTGTGTAAAATACAGACCAAGAGCTAGGTTAGTTCTCCTAGAAGAGAGAAACCTGAAACTCAGGATTTGAAAAAATTGAGGCAACACTTGCTCTGGCACGATGGTTTGGTAGCAGGGAATGGTGTGTGTATGGTGGGGGAGAGGAAAGAGACTGGTCCAGACTTTGCTGCACAGCCCACTTGGCTGAAAGACTAACTCAGGAGAGTTCTCAGTGTGTGCACAGAGCCAAACACYTGAAATGTTGCTTTGAAACTTCCCACATATAGAAAAATTCTGGGACACATTTTATGGACAAAGAAAATCGAACTGTCCTTTAACTACTGTCCCTAATACTGTGTGATAAACAAACAGTGGAGGAACAGAAGTTTTGGGGTTCTCACCTGGAACAGGGTCCTGATAATGATCCTTAAACCATCGGAAAAGTCCATTCACAGTAGGGAAGACTTGGCCCCGGTAGCGGAATCC